AATATTTTTATGTAATTGGCAAGTTTTGAGAGATTTCGTGAAACCTGTCCAAAGCTCAAGACAAATCTCCAAAGTATTGCAAGGCCCATGGCAGGCTGTTGTACCTTGAAACAGCTGATCTTACCAACGTGTACGTCGGTGATGGAAACACCACCAGCAGGATGTACTGCTCCCTTGCTGTGTCGGCATGGTCAATAAGGCCTTGGGGGTTGCAACAGCTGAAATGAGACACAGATGGTTTCCTGCTCTAGGAACCTCCTCGGTTTTGTTACCGCTTCAAAGTGGGCCAGCTTCTGGCAGCCCCATGTTGGCTGTCATCTCTGATGTCTGTTGATTTTACTCGAGGTCCTGAAGATCTGAGGGGTTGAAGAAGAACCTTCAGGTTTGGCATAAGGCCTAGAAACACAAGTTTCCATTTTACGAAGTAAAATGAAGGCGATTAGCTGGAGTCTCCCATTGCCACCGGTCGGGTGGCCTGGTTTCTTCCTGCAGGATTCTTCTAAGTGAAGTTTGCGCTGGCTTTGCAACACCGATGGCTAGTTAATGTGAGGAGAGGGAAGACTCTAACACAAGGCAGAAATGATGGTGCTTTGCTAACCGCTGTAAAAAGACAGGAGAAATTTGCCTGTGACTTAGTGCTTGCTTGTCATGTTTGGCACTTTCCATGACCTGGGCAGTAGCGCAAGCAAAATATTACCAAAGCCCCTACTGTGGGCAGGATACAGCAGCTGATGACAAAGATGCTGCAGTAGTTTTCTTTCTGTAGTCTCTCTGCACATCTGATGGACAAAATTTTGTGGATTTTTCAAAGCAAAATTGTCCATTACTGCATTTTTCAGAGGGAGGCAGCTGGCTAAAATCATCATCTGGTTGAGTGCTCCTTCCCTGAATGTGTGCCTGATGGCACTTCATGCAGTCACTCCATTTAGATGCTGATGTGAAACTTGGTTCTCTCTCCCATTTCTTGATTTCACAGTTTGTCCGTGCAGCCGGCTCTGCAGTGTGTGCATCCCCACGCCAAGAGGAAGGGGTAATGTGATCAGAAGTCCCACGCGCTGCCGAGAGGGCAGATGCAATACCTGAAACTGCTTGTCTTCTCTGTAAAATGTCACTTTTGAATGGGTGTCGTCTTTAAAATGACAGTTTTCCTTTCTGTATGTATTTGGTGCTGCTCTCGCCATCTGTCTGGATGCATCTTGACGGGGGCAGCGTACAAAACGGCATAGAATTTGCTGGCAGAAATGCAAACTATAGAGATGTAAAACAGTCCCTAACTTCAAAGCTGGAACAAAGACAGCAGAAGATTATACCGTCTTGGAGCTGTACTTGTCAGTGTTAAATGACATGCTCCTCAGTTACAGGGCAAACACTTGCCTAGGTGGAATCCAGAAATAAGGCAGAGTTTTTCAGTTTGGCCTAACAGGTGGTGATTATTTGTGGGTTTAAATAGCACGTTATGGGATAACTCTTGTGTTGGTAAGGACTGTTTGTTCAGCGATCACAGCTGAAATCTGGAAGGCTAACAATTGCCTTTGCTTTATTTACTACTTTTTTTTTTTTTTCCTGTAATGATAACTTATACAAGATAATTAAGTTTTTCTGGGGGGTGCATATTGTGCTGCATTTTGTAGCTTTTGATATGCATACTGTTTTGGTTTTTTTTTTCAATTCTAGGATACTTCCTCTCAAACCAGCATCTCTTCAGGCTTAAATTAATTTTGATGGAAGAGAAATGATGACATAGTCTTTCTCCACCTTAGTCTCAGAGGTTTGGATGTTTGTTTTCATTTCGGTATTAAGTAGGAGTCACTGGTGGATTAACTATCTAGGACGCTCTTTTGAGAAAGAGGCTTCTAGGCTGGTAATGCCAGAAAATGCTTATTAAAGAAAATGAGCAACTGAAGGAGTGAATATCCTGAAACTGCTAATTGCTTCTGCAGCTTCTTCGTGGACTGGCCTCGTGCATTTCCTGTGTATAATTGCAGTCTTGACTGCAGCTCCTTTGCAGAGGGCCTCGAAGTCCTGATAAACATGGGTCTGTCTTTAAAAAAAAGTAAAAAGACTGTGCACTTTGTCAGACAAGACAGTTCTATTTCAGTTAAAGATGGCAATTGCCTTATCTGTTTCACTTTGGTATAATAAGCTGGGTTGCCCATCATATACCAGATGCAGAGCTGGCCAATATAGTCTGATATTAAATTGAAGACACTTCTGAGATGAAATACTGGTAACGGGCTGCTTGTCAGGACTCCATCAGCTACGAAGAACGTGGTAATTCAGGAGGAACTTCATTTAATACATGCAAGCTGTTGTTTTCCTTGGTAGGATGGCAGTCATGAGCTTCCATGAGGTGTTGAGATTTAAGGTTTATAACCAATTTCAGAGAGATGCTATGCCTACCCTAACTCCCAGGTTTTAAAACACAAAGATTGGTTTTATTTTTAATCTTTTTTCTAAACTGAAAACTAGGACTGCAAGAAGGCTGGAGGTAACCAGCATGAAGAGCAAACTGTAACCTAAGGGAACGAGGTGGGTTTTTACAGTACCTGAAGAAATTAAATTTAAATGCAAGTTTTCCTATGAGGTGGGGTTAAAAACAATCCGTAAGGGTGAGGTGGGGTGAAAAATTACTTAATCCAAAGCCTGGAGGAGGGAGAGAGAAAAATATGCTTGAATAGCAGCTACTCATCTAAAGGGAAATGTAATATATTATAGGCAGAAGTGGCAAGTGCTGTCTGTTCCCTAGCGTTTTCTATTAGAGCTCCTGGTTTTGGTTGCTTTGACTTGCCAAAATAATGGTCTCTGAATGTCCTTTGCCTTATGGCTGGCCTTTAAGTTCTGGCAAAACTAGTGCACCCATTTTGATGAAGATAAAGCCAAGTAGTATTGCCCCATCTACAACTTCAGAGCTTGGTCAGGTCCATCTTTAAGTGGCGCTGCAGTATCTGCAGAATGGTTCTGCTCCATCAGACCTGCCTTTTCTCTTCACGTGGAAAGCCTTCAGCCCCTGACTGCTCTAAGCCTTCTAACTTCCATTTTGCTGTGCTTTGTAAAAATCGCTCACCTGTTAAAATCTCTCTGGCCTCACTGGTGAGGCTGGAGGAGCCCTGCTGCTTGGCGGGTATGGGTCTATAGGCTTGAGCCATCTGGCCTGGAAGAAGATTACTGGGTAGGGAGCCAGGAAACATAGAGTTAAAGCCATGGGGCTTCCCGTGTCAGCCCTGTGTATCTTATATTCCCCACAGAGAGCTGTTATGTGGCCAGTGTTACTGCACACGTCTGTCTCCCTTCCTCCCACCCCACAATGCACACACCATCATAAACCAGAGAGCCAGCACCTACCAGCTGAGCTGAGAGGGGAAACCTGAGCAGGAGGCTGGGTTGTCCTCCTGGAGATGCTTTTCAGAGAGAAGGTATGATGTTTGTGTGCCTGGTTGTAGTTTCTGTTTCTCTCCAAATGCAGGAGAAGACTGTGCTGTCCCCTCCCTCCTTCGCAAGTCAGTGGCAGTGTGTTTTTGGCTGATCCAGCCTTGTAGCGTTCAGGGGAACTACCTCATTTCTGGTTTTATTAAAGTCTTAGCAAACAATATTAAAATATCCTGTAGATTCTTCTGTGTAGTTCAGAAATGCTAGACTGAAGTTCACTCGATGCTGCTGTCTTGAATTACTTTGTTCTTCATAAGGCATCCCCAGTTTTTCCTTATATCAGGCAGATGTTGAATAAAGCCCTGAGAAGGGCTCAAGAATCAAGTTGTTCATGGTTCAGGACTCTTGTTTTAGGACCGGAATTGCACCTCGAGCTTACAAGAGTTAAATCATGTGTATGAGCCATGTGGGCTCTGAGGTGGTCACTTGTCTCTGCAGCCTGATCTTCAGCTGTGGCTTTCTGCGTTGAGTAGATCCACTCTCCCTGAAGCAGAGCTGCGCCAAAACCTACAGCCCAAGAGCTGGGGGTTCTGGAAAGCTGGGAGAAGAGCTGACCCAGATGGCTGTTGTTCAGCTCCACGGTAACTTGTTTTCTTTCACCTAAAACAGAAACCACAAAAAGACTTCAGAAGGACTTTGACCACTCCTCTGTCCCATGCAGTGCAGGATGCAAAGGGTAAGTGCACCACTTGCCCGGTGCACAGCTCAGCAATGCCCGTGGATTCTGTGTTCTTCGGAATTCCAAACGGTGGTGCCGCTTGCAGGGGGGCTGCTGGCTGAACTGGGTGTGAACGTGTGCTGCAGCCTCTGGGAAAATAGTGCCAGAAATCTGAAGGGTCCTCAGCACCTGGGGTGCCTTCAGGAGTTTGCGGGTAATCAGTGCTTCAGTTCTGCCTACGCAGCACTTCGGGAGCCCAAGTGCTCTTTTGGATTTTGCTCTTTGTTCTTTTGAATCTTTAGTTTGGACACATACCTGTGCGGAGTCTGGAGCAGAGCTTGTTCCCGAATGAGTAAATAAATTGACATAGCTGCACTTGGATAAATAGGAGTAATAAATGCCTGGCTCAGCCTCCAACTGAAAATCCTCCAGGCTGGGCAGGAGAAGCTGCTTTACTGACCTAGCTTTTGAGCAAACTGCAGATCTGTGCCAGAAGGAGCCTGTCCTTCAGCTAGTGGTTACCTGTATTGGAGGATGCTGTCCGTGATTGTCGGTGTAATGCAACTGAAATATCCTTGTAGCCCAGCATAGGAACCCTGTTAGCAGTTCCCACCATCTATGTGGGTCTCACCTGTTTGTATTTCCTACTAAGAGCTCCAGAAGTGCTTTTAAAAATTACATTATTTTTTAGGTAACTTATTTTCAGCTGATAGCTGAGTCACTGGCTGCCATGCTTCAGCCAGGATCCCAGGGAGAGAAGAGACTACTTGCTGAACTTCGAGTTACGATTTTTGGCAGCACACTTCATCTTTTGAGCTTGTTCTGCTGTAGCTTGTTTTGTTCCATCTGTTCAGGTGCCTTTGTTAGAGCAGAGCAGGAGCACCCAACCGAAACACTCCAGTCACAGAGAGCAGAAGTGGTCTTAATGAGGCTGGTGGGAAAAGAACATGGTGGTGAGCAATAATTTAAACTTAACCTACAGTCCCCCCATGCCTTGCAGCACTAACTTTTGCCCTAGAGATCCTTCCTCAGTCTTACAGCCCGGGTATGTGGTCTGTGTAGAGCTGCTGCTGCTGCAGGGGATGTTTGCTCACAGGAAACGTGAGGAGGACTGGAGGCTCAGTACCCCTCCTGGGTACCAGCCCCCTCGGTCTGGGGACAGAGGAAGCATTGGCACGTCCGGGGAGGGATAAGATCCATCTGGCAGAAGGGATTTGCAGTAGCTGGGATGGACTAAGCAGAGCTTGCTCCTAAGGAGCTGCCTGGCCCTCACTGCGGCTTGCCATAGGGTTTGGATGGGTTCTGTGAAATCTGTTGCCTGTGCAGGAAGAGGGCGCAGGCAGCGCAGGGAGCAGGGTGCTGTGACACGGGCAGAGGGCACTGATGGGAAGCAGCAAAACACCAGCCAGACCTGGCCTTCTGCCACGTGTCAGTTGGGCTAGTTAATTTAGAAAGAGGTCAAGAAATCTCTGATAGCTTGGTGCCCAGCGAGCTCAGGTGAGACTTGCATGCAGCCTGGAGAGTTTGAATTTCTAGTTGTTACAAGCAGCAAAAGCTTAGGTTTGTTTAGAAGTATATTTGTCAAAGATGGATCACTGGTCTGCTTTTCCTGACATGTCTTTTAACTGCATTTTTTTTAGTGGGACGTGGTCCGCTTGAAAGCTGTGTCTGAATTGGGTGAAGGACGTGCTCTTTGAGGGGCTGTGTCACAAACCCATGCTCTAAAAATAGGTCCAGAAACTCAACCTGATGCTTTTGTCTTGACATCAGGTTTCACCTCCTCTCCCACCCAGACCTTGTCCTCAGCACTGCGGTGCAAATCTCTACATCCGTGTGCATGTTGCAGTGTTGGCAGCAGCACCCGTGGCAACCTGAAAGTGTTTTGTGAAGGAGAGTTTACTCAGCCTGATGTGAGCAGCCTAGCAAAAGGACTTTATATCCAATGACGCATGTTGTGTGCAACCCCTTCTGAAATCCCCTTTCAAGTCTTCAGTGTTCGAGCACCCTTGGAAAATCTCTGTCAAGCGACATTAGCAAGAGTGGAATTAAATCTTAGAGGATTTAGCCGAGCAGCTTTGGCTACGGAGTAAATCAGGAAATACCCCACTCATTAAAAATCCAGGTGCATCTTCGGGATGACTTGTGGATGGTGGCCTGCAAACTGTTTTTCCTTTGGAGATTGCTGTTGGTTGGGATGCTGAGCCTCCACAGTTTTAAAGCTGTGCGTACAGTGGTAACTTTTGTATATCCTGGTATTGTGGTAGGTGGTTATTGTGAAACTTCAGGTAGATTTCTTGACCTGCTGTGACTGTAGCAGCTGGACTTCAACGTGTCATTTAGAAGGTCAGAAAATGGAAAATTTGGGGAGGTAGATATCTTTCTTGAGTTGCATTCTTCTATTTTGATGTAATTTAGTCTGAGAATAATTCTTCACGATGAATGAGCAAGGGAAGTAAGCTCTGTCAAGTAACATCTAGAGGAAGACACTTGTAAATAGTGGCAGCAATAAGCAATCTGACCCATCCCTCCCGGATCAGAGGTCCTGACTTTGTTTAGCTGCAGAACCCCCTGTGCAGAAGGGCTGAGAGAGAAAATAGGGGGGATAGTTTGTCACTGTCTCATATAGCTTGCGGTCCAGTGCTCTTTGTGTCTGCTGTGCTGCTCCAACAAGCAGGTTGAATAATTTCTTTGACTTGCCAGTGCTCTCCCAAGACACACTGAGATCCTTGGAGGATATACCCAGAGAAGCAATATTGTGAAGGGAACCAAGCTGATGTTGTGCAAAGGCATCCTCCTGTTCTCTAGTTAAAGGGGTTTTGCCTTCTCAGTAACAATATCCTGTGCTGTTTATCAGCTTAAGAAGTTTTGGGATTGGCTACAGTGAAGTCACCCTTTTTCCAGCCACTGGTTCCTTGTCCTGTGCCTGGTACGAGCCTTGCAGGTATCGTTGCAGAGACAGCGAGTTGCAGAGGTCAGATGGTGGAGAAGAGCCTCCAGAGCACTAATCCCTACCTGCCAGGAGGTGCTGAGGTCATGCAGCTGAAGCACTGAGCCATGCCACACTACAAACCATGTGTATTTGAGGCAGAACAACTGCTCTGGCTCTGGCAAGCAGTATGGAACCTCAGATTAGTCATCTCTGCTCTTTTAGTGGCACTTGGAGAGCAGCAAACAGAGGATGCAGCTGAGCATCCTTACCCTGCACAGAGGCAGGACGCATGTTAAAAGTGCTGAATCCTGCTTCTAGGCAGGAGCCTGCAGGCAGGGAGATAGCAACACTCAGCAAACAAAGGAGGGAAGTGAATTCTGGACCAAGCCTTTGCAGAGCTGTTTTGTGCTTCTCTGACCTGTGGTTGGGAAATGGGCTCTCTGGGACCTTGTGGCAGCTGAAAACTGCATCTGAACACACACAAAGGGTCCCAAGGGCTGCCTGGGGTCCTGCACTACATTCAGGTCCCTGATGTTTTTGCAACACGACTAGAAAGGCAACAAGAGGTTCTCTGTCTTCTTTCTGCTGAACTCCAGCTCTCCCAGCAGGCAGGAGATGCTCCAGTGAAGCCGTGCCGCTGGGTTGGGACCCGCTAGTAGGGGATGTGAAGTTTATCCTACCCCTGAGCAAAGGTAAGGGGGCAACCTTTGGGTGTTGCTGTAGCTCTTCTGGCTGATAGTAAGGAATGTGACTTCAAAGTCCTTCAGCCTGTTACGGCCTTGCTCTAAATTGGCGTCGTGGTTTTAGTGTGGTGCCACTGTGCCTGGATGTCGTCACAGACACGGAGAGTTGTCTCTGTCCTGGAGAGGTTACGCTTCCTGCTGTGATGTTTGCTGTCTCTAATTAATCCTAATCAAGCTTTGCTGTGAATTCTGGATTTGGACTTGAAGGTTGTAATAGAGAAGCCAGAGGCTAGGAAGAGGCTGGCATCCCTAACGCCGAGCCGGGGTGCCTGACCTTGGGAGCGTCTCGCCTCTCCGCCTGTGCTGCCCGCGTGGGCAGGGGGGAGAGCACTCGGCCGCTCTGGACGTGCCAGGCAGCGTGTGTTGTTCCACTCCGCAGTCCTCCTGTGACCAGCAGCGTGGAAGGGAGCAGGAACACTCTGTTCAGATAAGACTGCACCTTTCCCATCTAGCAGATGTTTGCCTGAACATCCCACTGGATTGCATAATTACACAGTTGAACGTGGAGCCGAACGGCTGCAGCCTTTTCCGCTACTGGGTGTCAGCTATTGTGTGCTCCTCCTGATGAGATTTTTGTTTGGCTTTTTTGTCGGCTGTGTCACACGGTTCGGGCTAGGCGCTCCGAAATTGTCCTTTTCTTTTTTTTTTTTCTACATGCAGCTGATCTGAGACAAGAAAACAAATCAGTTCTTTTTAAATTTCATTTCCCTGGTCTTGTCCTGCTCATTCCTCACTGTAATTGGGCTTCCGTGCTGTAAGCGCTTTTCTGGGGAGTTGTCAAGGAAACGTTTTAGCATGGTATGTCCTGGCTCAGCAGTGTGGCTCCCCGAGGAGGGCTGCACCCAGGATGCGGTCCCGCACCTGCAGCTGAGGGAGGAATGTGTTAACTCCCTGCCTGCATCTTCAGCTTCTGCCCTGCCTCCTGAGCTGGAATAAACAGATTTATTTCTGAGGCAGAAAGAGTTTCTGCATAAAAACAAAAATAAAATAGGCTGGTAGGTGCCTTTACTGCAGAATCATCCCTTTGTGGCAGTCCCTTGCAGTGGTGATGCTCCATAAGCTTTGCTTTGAGCAGCCCTCGCTGGGCTCTGTAATACAAGGCTTACGTTACTTGATGCCTGGGGAGTGCTGGCAAGGGAGCAGAGAGACCGCTTCTGGTTTGGGGTTCAAATCCCTCAGTCGGAAACCTGGAGGTGTGACTGGGGCAGGGCTGGGTTTGGGGCTCACTGCTGCCTCAGGGGGTTCCTGTTGCCCGCCTGTCTCTGGCTGGTTGAAGAGCTTGTGATAAAAGCTGCCCAGGGTGGAAATGAGGGAGCAAGCTGTGTCAGTGCTGTTGGGTAGGTATCGTGGCAGTGCCCCGAGGCCCTGTCCTACCTAGAGGGTACATTAAGCTCTTTCCCAGAATCTGTACAAGCCATGCCATTCCTTCCCCTAACAAGTTTATGCTCAAATAAATAAGACAAAGGGCATGGGAAAAGAGTGCAGCACATAGAGCTGGTGCATCAGATCATGGTTTGCAAATGTAATCTTCTCTCCACAAAGTGGAGGTGGTTCCTGTGTGCTTGAAATGGCAAAACGAGGCACGGAGCTGATGTGGGTGGTAAGTGGGAGCAGAGGACGGGGAGGAGAGCAGGGCAGCCAAGGTGGGATTAAATGGGATTACTTACCTCTGGCTGCTCCTGGTAGTCCAGTCCGAATACTACCCGGTGCTGCCAGCACTTCTGTCTGCAAATTACTGCTGGACTTCGGACGGTGACTGGGCTGTCCTGAGGAATGTGGAGCTACCTGTGCTGCAGGTGTCTCTCCTTCTCCTGGCCGTGTTTGCCCCGGGGGACAGAGCAAGCCTTGCCTCAGCACCGGCCTGGATGGGGCTCAACAGTGGAGAGAGAGTTTAGGCTGTGTTCAGCCAGTGTGAGTTCTGATCCCACAAATTCATTCAGCAAGTGCTCCAGGGAAAAATTGATACAGTTTGGTATCAAAGCTCTGTGTCGACTCTATATGACAAGGATAGTTTCTCACATTGCTTTATTTCCTTGTTATTCCTACAAGCTCTCCGTTGAAGCAGTTCTCCATGGCCAGGGTGCAGAGCAGTTGGCTACAGCTCTTTCTGCCAAGAGATGCTGCATTTAATGGTGGAAAAAAACCCCAAACTTTTTATTTACTATTGTGGCTTACTTGATGTTTCTCATCCTAATCAAGTTGTGTTGTTTTATGGGAAGAAAATGTGTTTAATGATCAGAAGTAGGTCATCTCTGATGCCTGGGAAGGGCAGGCTGTCAGT